CAAAATAAGAGTTGAAACAGAATGTGCCGTCGCTGGTGGAGTGAGAGGAAAGTCGACCATCAATTGTCTAGATTTGAACGATAATTCACAAAAACTTTCGTTATTAAAAAAAATTAAAAGGAAAGCAAAAATTGATTTAACCTTCAGGCGCTCGTGCAATATAGTGTCACATGCGCTCTCGTATGTTTTTGCCGCTGAGGAACATCCTTCCCTTTTCTCAATATTGCAGCTTCTTTTGTTCGTCATTCTCGGGAAATTTATTAAATAACAACAACTGGGTATTTAAAGTAGTAGGTTAAAAATTTATTGAAATAATTTTAATTATTCTCCAGGATAGAAATATCTGGAGATAATCTGAAAAATCAGCCCTTTACCTTTAAAACACTGATGACAAGTACATATACTACAATATGGAATCATAAAAAATCTAAATTAAAATCCAATGATGAAGGAAGGTAAACATCTAATAAATATAAAATGGTAAAAAGAAGAGAGAGAATGTGTAGGTCGCTAAATATGTTATAATAAACGAGAATTGTAAGTATTAGGAATCTAGATTACTAAATTCAACTGAAATCACCTATAAATTACACGTAATGAATTGCATTGTGATAATGCATTTAATTAATACAATAATTATCATAGGGGGATTAATATGACATTTTTATTGCAAAATTATACGAAAAATATTCTTATATATTCATCGCACTCCTGAAAAAAAAACTGGAACAGACGCGATCACGTGGCGGTGTTTCTGTCGCGTAGAGTAAAGACGAATGACATTGGTCATTTTTACGCGAATTTGGGGCAAATGTGAGTTAGTCTTGGAGAAGACATTACCGCTGTCTTGGTCTCAATAAATAACTGGACTGGGTAAACACCTGGCTTCCCGCCATGCTGAATTCAAACATCAACGCACAGCGCCGTTTTATTTTCAAATGCAGCATTTATACCTCCCGCGCACTCGCTCGAAAGTCAAAATAAAGATACACGATTTAAAATATAAAATAAAAAAAGCATGCATAAATATGAAATTGATTATGAATTGCACATTTTTATACATAATTTCTCCAAATCGATTATATACACCGAGATCTCCTAAGCTGATAGGTTTTAGGGTCCCATTGATACTTTGCTACGCATGTTTGAATGGGTGTCGAGTCTGAGCAACGCACAAGTTCCAAAGCACTTATTGCCAAAAATATTTATTCTCCCACTTCACGAACGAACGGTTACTGGAAAAAGTGAACTTGCAGTAAAACAAAATTAAATGAGCCAGTCTGGGTAGCCGAGGTCACTACGGCTGAAGAACTGTGGCTACGTACCGAAGGGACGCGGGTTTGAATCCTCCCCGGGCATGGATGTTTGTGTGTTCATGCTGTCATTGTGTTCCCCTTATAATGACCCCAATGTTTAAAAATAACACAGTGGTCGCTATGTGACAAAGCAGTTAAAAAGCGACTTTTAACATTTTTAATTGAACGACAATCAGCCATTTTTAAAGACGAGGGGAAAATATCTCAGATAACGGACAGCAGGCATGCCGTAACGGTGGGAACGCCGGCGAGCCTCGCAACCCTTCCTCGAACCCTGCGGCCTCCCCTCCGAGCGACGTGCGGCAATTGGCGGCGGCCGGCGGATAACGGGCCTGACCTCCCCCCACCCCACCCCGGCCCCCCAGCAGTCAGCACTGATAAGGCGGCCGAGGACGCAGAGCACGTGCACCTCGGTGCGAAGCTGCCACGGCGACACGAAATGCATTTCGAATAATAATTGTCCGCTTTATTTGGTTCGCGTCTGCATCAATAAAAACGGATTTGCTTTCTCGTTGCTCCAACTGGATTTTAATAAACGAGTATTGCCATAGGCGGTCTTCAACGGTCTTCAGATTTGAACTATATGTGTGTGTATGAAATTAAATTTGGTTTCCTAAAATCGTCTAAAAAAAATCTCCTTCCAATCTCCGTAAATGTAAAATCGTATTGCATTTAGCATTAATTTGGCATATGTCATGAATATCTCCCAAAAAATGTGTTCGATACATTTTTGGTGTTTTTCAGGGGTTCATTTAGTGTTTTTATGGCGTGATATGGCAACTCATTTTTTTAAATAACTGTCATAACAAAGATTTTATAGTTTATAACGACTTATTCCTGCCGATAGCTTCGTGGCCAAGCAACGCCAAAGAACTACAAGGATTTTTCGGGCATCGATAAAGTGAATTGTATGATTACTAGAGCACGAGCCTTTGCTTCTCCTAGAATGATATAATTATAGAGGGGCACCGAGGCAGGGGCTGATACAACGGGAGGGAAATCAGGGAAATTTCTTCCCACCTAATTTCTTTCAGTTACTATTAATTTTAATTTGTCACGAAACTATCATGCAATAATATTTTCGGATAATCATTAAAACAAATAAAATCTTATCGCACCATGCGCTGAGTGTCGCCTGCGGTTTTTATAAAATCTGTAACATAACTCATTCGACCAAATGATTTTCTAACATTTGTCACTGGATCCACCCCTGACCAAGAATTTATCTCAGTGTGTGAGTGTGTGTGTGTGTGTGTTGGGGGGTAGTGACAAATATAGTGTTCAGCTAAACAAAACGTGTTTGTATTTGTTGATTCATGGTGAGTGACTTTTGTTAGAGCAGAACTTTTGTAAAATAGGTATTTTTGTCTTATACTCGCAACATGCATTACAATATATTGCTCGTAATAATTCACTTTACTTCTTAACACAAAACCATAATACAGTTTTCATATCATTCCTTCTTGTTGAAGAATGATTGATGTGTATTGTAATCAATATAAAACATCAATAAATGGTTGAATTACTAACGCATTTGTTAAACATTAAAAGCTAACCGCTATAAGATGAAAGTCATTAGAGTAAATGATATGAAGCAATTTCAGTGAAATATAATTTGAAATTTATTGCAATTTCATTTAAAATTATTTTGAAATGTATTTTGCCAAACAATTTGTATATTCAAATTATTAGCTATGAAAGTATATCTAAAATTCTAAACAATCTTTGAAGGATAGACCTGCAGAGATGCAAAAATCTTTTTTGTGCAAATGCGGTATTTAGAGACGAAAGGTTACTTCTACTTCAAGCAATTTTTTCTCTCCCTTGAGGCTCGTTTGCAGCAATCTGTTTACCTTGCGCAAAATCATTAAATTATGTGAAAATAGTATTTCTAAGATCTACTTCAGAAGGAAATTGGAGAGTGAGCCAGTGTCATTAAACGCATTACAGGTTAATAATGGTTTCAGTTCGAACTTGCCTTTACTCTTCAATTCTCAATATTCAATTAAAATGCAATTCTAAAATCTCTGTCATTCAGCTCACTCCAGTCATCTATATAATTTGCAATACGGACTATTTCATGACCACGTCCTGTTGACCTTTAGTTCTTGTCTGAATTTCCATTCAATGAATTTGATTTGATGAAGACATGGTGCCTTCTTTAAATTAATATGTGCCGAATGGGATTTACGTATGTTAATTGAATAAATCAGTAAAAAAGAATTAATTGGTACATACAAATCGTTACGAAATATATTAAAAGATGGTTAATGTATCACATTTATCTAAAAGCATTATGTTCAATTCGAACAGTTCATTTTTAAGAATACCGTATAGAAATTTTAAGTTAAAAACGTAGTTTTGAACTCATGGTTGAATTGAATAGAAACCTGTATTAAAACGTAATATTTTAATGAGTTTTTTTCAATGCTAATGCGATAATGAAGATTTTTGAATACGGTATAGCTATTTAAGGTATACTGTGTGTAGATATCGTTAAACACTTGCATGTGCATTATTTCTTCAATGAGAAGCAAGTTTCATAGTACTCAAAATTGACTGTCAAAACTGTCATGATAAGGCAAGTAATAGTATTTTGACATTATTTCAATTAGTCAATTAAATGTTTTACAAGGCATACGTCCTTGAAAAAATAGTGTATTTTTATTCACAAGATAATACCCACATACTACATGTTTTCTCTTGTCCTAATTATATATTAAGATCACTGACATTGAGACTTAAACAAGAGGTTACACAATGTAACTAAAATTACACTATTGTTATTGCGGATCTAAACTATTTAAAAAATTTCTAAAATTAATTCCTATTTAAACAATATCAAATTCAGTCTTTCTGGTATTACTACTGAAATCAATTTAAAGTCGTGTGCATCTTCTGGATGAAAAAAGTATATAATAGTGTTTCAACGATATCGTTAATTAGATTTCCTTTGTATAAACAACAATTGAATATGATATTAATATTCGTAAAAATCAAATTCAAAATAATGTGATTTACGACAGGTCTCTATATAAGGTACGTTAAGCGAGAATACTCCTTTTTCAAGAGCCTTGTTAGTAGAGTTCTACAATATATTCGGTATATCGCATAATTATGTTCTACGTGTTAAAATCGACGAATCAGTCATCCCATAGAAAAAGAAAATTAAACAAATAGTAAATTTGTGTTGCATATACTCTAGTTTTCAATTAAATATTAATTTTTATTCAGAGAGTTAAATAGTTAAAAATAAAGGACAACCACGTACATCGGAGATGAAACAATAAAACCAAGGCAAATACAAAGCTCTATAATAAAATAATTGAAATAATCATCGTAAAATGCAAGTTTCTCATAATTATGCACTAGTTGCTATGAATTGACATGAAACTTTCAATGGGTTGACAATTGAAAGATCAAGTAACATAAAATAATATGAGAATTGTGCTTTGAGAATTTCTACTGGGTTAACAGTGCATTTAAAATATTTCTGAACAACGAAAAAATAATTTGTGCACTTAATATTCAATCATCAATGCCAGTTGTCAAGTAGAAGAATAGTTTGAGGTTATATCACTACTATGCCTTGTAATTAAAATGCACTTACCATAATCAACGTCCTTACTTCTGGATGACACCAAATTACGTCAGTTCTTTCGTCATTAACACCTTTAAAATCGCAACGTTCACATCACGTGCTGTCCATCTCGAAACGCCTCATGCCATACCGCCGATCCGTCGACATCAACAAGACAAGGTGACGGAACGACTCTCCAGGTAGCGGTTCAGTCGCCGCCTGGTAGCCGCGATGCGCGAGTGTTCACGCCGCACTCGAACAAAGAAGTTGGGTCTCTGCGCACAGTCTGAAATTGACGGCGACTGAGGGCAGGGGCTCAGTACCGGAAGTAATGGAAGGCGACGAAGAGAGACGACAGTGTGGTGTATTGGATAATGCATTTGAAGAAACGCTGTGCTACCGAGATTTGCAACAAATTGCTATTTCTATGAATTTACCTGCCAACCATGAGGTATTACATTGTGTTCACGTTTCTTGAGATTCTTGGGTAGTACTTGGAAGCTGGTTATTACGTTGAAATAATACTTGTATTTCATTTAAGTAACTTACAAACTTTCTGTTGAAATGTAGAATTAGCTGATAAGTTATACGATTTAAATTAATGCGGTATTTGGCAGTGTAACATGGGAAGTGATAGCACGTGGGTTCAAACCTTTACCTTGGCGATGCACTGCGCAAGGTTGTACGTAATGTGACGGCTGGGCTAATTAATTTTATAGTTGATGCACATTTATAAACAGTATATTCAAACGTACTATTTACTATAATTCGTGTTTTATTTTAAAATTTTAGAAGCATATTTTAATCACATTAAGCACTTAACTTTGATGAAGGAAAGTTACATTTCAGTTGAATAGCGTTGCATTACGTAAATAGTTGAAAATCGAGGTGTAATTCTCAACTCTTAAGATTTTTATACTTCAGAATGTAAGATGAAGGTTAAACATCTAGACTTATAAAAACCTTTGCTTGATATTGCAAATATTATGTTTAAATTCAGTATTAGATAATTGTGAGAATATTTTTCTTATAAAATATAAGCTCAATGCAATGAAGGGAAAAGTGCTAAAATTTCTCACAATTTTTTTTTTCTAACACCGTTACATTACATCCACTGTCGATAGCAACAACGTAATGTAATATTTGTAGGGTTAGAGTATTCAGTGAAGTTAGAAATTTTCTACAGCTGTTTATTTCGGAAAAAAGATTGAATAATAACATTTGCGTAGTTTTTCAATTTGGACTATCTCAACCAGTGTGTTCACTACTTAAACTGAATTGGCCATAATTGAAAGAAACAATTGCCATTTTATAGCATTATTTCTTTCTTTCCTGCCATACCTTAACTAAACGAATATGAAAATCGTTGAAGTATGTGATGTACCCGACATACAAATAGGCATAAACTACAGCTTTCATAAAAAAATACTATTCCAAGAATAATCACAATAAGATAATTAATTTATGACGATTCGATATAAATTGTGTATTGTGCTCAAACGAATCTTTCTGTTTTTCCATTACATAAGAAAACATGTTTTATTCTCGTCAACCGATTGCAGTTATCTGTAGTCACGATTAATTCCGTTTTTGTTAAAAGGGTGTTTAAAAATCTTTAACAGGTTGGAGTTCTATCCAAATGGGTCTGTTTGTGAACATTTAATGTATTTTCTCTTTAGTTCTCTGAAAACATTGCAATAATGAAACGGCTCTTATTTTAATACACTGCACTATATTTAGGTTTTTCATTGAATTAAATCAGATAGCCAGAGTTGCTGGGGCCTATAACCAAATGAATGTGAATATTGTGCAGTGGTCTACTCTGTTGGCCTTGGTGAAGGCTCGACGACGAGGGGACGACCGCACAGTGGAGGACATTCTGACGCACGCTCCCAGACCCAAGCGGCGGGCCACCGCCTCCGCCGCCGCCGCCTCCGCCAGCGCTGCCTCGGAGGCGGCGGTGCCACCTAATGCCAGCAGCGTGGAAGGTAATACTACCCTTTTGCTCGGACTGTTATACGCGCACGTTTTCTCGAGGGCCAGAATGCAATCCCTCTCATTTAGCGCCATAGTTGGATTACGGAAAAAGATAGCAACGAGCAAACTGATAGTTGATGAAATGTTTGTTTCCGTTTAATAGACGTTTTTTTCTTTATATAACGAACTGCAGACTTGTATAATATCGATATTGACCCTCCCTCTCTCTCCAAATGCTCTCGCATCGGGCGGAATGTGAACCAAAGACTACGTGTGCAGATTTAAAATGTTCCGTGTTCAAGTGATTCTTATCTCTTTGTAGTACCTACTAATATTGAGATACGTTCATCATTCTCGCAAAGTGCAATAAAAGAACTGACGATTCAGAAATTTTACGGATAAAGTATTAATGGTTATAAATGCTGAATATCCTAACTACCACCAAAAATTATAACAGATTCCATCCATAATTAAGGTTCCATAAAAATACAATGTTCTCAAAAATATAATTAGAATGAATATCAGATAAACAAAGTACACTTGTACTTTTATAGTATAGGTTCTGTTTTAAAGTATATGTGCTGCGCAGTGGCACGAATTGTTGTTGATAAATGAAGTCTGGTGTAAGCACATGAGATACGAGTGCATTACGGCAGCTGATCTAGAGAATTATAGATTTCAAACTTTTAATATTGGTTTTCCAGTTAATATTGTTTCAGTGTAATATTGACTGTATTCACTCGGATAATAGAGATCATTTATTTCTGAATCAAAACGAAACTGCCAGGCAACAGTTTGCAACAATTGTCATTGATCTTGAAATGTAACCTAATTTAGTTCGCTACGAATATTCGAAGTTAGAGCATCCTAGTCCTAAAATAATACAAATTCATTTTATGATATGGTATTCTTTAATGTTTTTGTCACTTTTAGCAATTTCTTATCACATTTCTTTGTATGAAAATTAAATTATTCATGTGGTTACCAAAATGCATTAGATTGAACGTTAGAAGTCAAAAATGTCACCAATACTTTATTCTTCCAACTAGATATTATTAATTAATCATATTTTCCAGGACAGTGAAAAATGGTGTCATAATAATATAATTAATTTGCGAAAGTGTACAGGTAAGCAGGGATAGGAGGAGTTGTCCGGAAATTGGAAGTTTTCTAGATGAGACGGTGTCCCCTCTAGATGAAACGGTAGCTGTGTAATATGTAACATTTCCGCCCGTGTCTCGTAGCCCGTTTTATTTCATACTAAATCGCTTCTCCTTACTTTTATTTTAATTCCATATTGCGATATTTCACGATGTAAGAGTGCCAAATACGAATTGCCCACTGCGCCAGAGCCCCCTGGAATACTGATGTCTGTGAAACAATTGCAGTGCTCTGAACATTTTAAAATAAACTTGAAAGATAGAGATGCTTCAGTAATCGATAATAGATTAATACACACAGTGATCTGTATACTGCATAGCGATATCATTGAATCCAATGAAGCAATTGATAAAATACTACCTCAGAAATTGGAAGAAAGATATAAAACAAAATATAAAAACTTTTGTTCCTAGAAAAATAAATTAATATTAACATGGTTAAAAAAATCTCATAAAAATCTTCAAAATATGATAAATAGTATCAATCAACTGCATCGTTGGTGCTGGCCGTGTATTTATAAAACAAATCAGAAACGTTGGTACAAAATTTTCGAAGTTCACAAGTTGCCATGAGATTTCATTACGGTACACTGTACCGGTAAAGTCCCCCTTACTGGCCTGCTGTGAGGCGCGTAAACAACCGCAATGCGACATCGTACGAAACAAGCGCAGTGGAGCGCCCAGCGAGCGCCGAGACGGCGACGGACAGCCGGCGGCGTGTTCGGGGCCCGGCAACTCTCCATCAAAAGGAGGTTGCTACTATAGGAAGCGCTAGCGTCGCCGGGTCCAGCTGCAGGTTAGGATCGCCAAATTTCCCACACACAAATTGGCTAATTTGTGAGAAATACGAAAAGAGTGTTCTAAATGTACAATTATTCATAATCTCTACTTGTAAGAAACCTCTGAAGAAAGCGCGTACATAGACGTTATCTTTTGTTGCATTATGGTCCTGCTTGCGACCCGCGAACTCATGCAGCAGTCACGCACGTTTAAAGTATCGTTGGCAGCAGTTCCTGTTTTCATTCCTGTAAAGAAGGTGATGCAGAAGAGCGCGCCACCGTAATGGTCTCCACCAGGTTATATGGGAGTTATAGGGCCCTGGGCGTATTGCAGGTGGCGGTCGCGCGGGCAAGCGTCGCGGCGCGCCGCGCAAGGGCTCCGGGCCGACGCGGCGCGTGGCGGCGGAGCGCGCGCCCTTCCTGCCCGTGGCGACCGCCCACCCCTGGCCGCCCGCCCCTACGTCCCCCACCGAGCCCCCGTCGCCGCCAGCGCCCGCGCCCCCGGCGCCGCCGCAGCAGCAGCAGCCGGCCCCTCAAGCGCACGCGCCCAGGAGCACCAAGCGGCGGGGCGCGCCTCGCAAAGGAGCCGGCCCGCCTCGCAGGTAGGGTGAATTTATTACTAGGCGATGTACGCAATTCTGCCCCTGGCAGGTTTCAGCTGTTGACGGTTTCATCAAACGGGAGCTTCAACGTCACTATAGTCCTCTCTGTCTCTTTAGTCACTCTGCCCCCGGCAGGTATCAGCTGTTGACGGCTGCATCTATTCGGGAGCTTGAACGTCACCATAGTGATGTCACTATGATAACGTTTAAGTTCTCGATTGGATGAAACTATAAACAGTAGATACCTGCCAGGGGCAGAGTTGCGAAAATCGCAGTATTTAGTGGGATTTAAAAGTAATATCTCTGCTGGATCGCGGGCTGGAAGGAGGGGAGGACGCGGTCTTTCAATCGGAAGGTTTAATACCGAAAATTTAAGTCGTAACAAAGCTGCCGGTTTATTTGACTGTCACCTCTCCCCTTCCAGCCCGTGACCTTGAGGAAACAGTCATTGAGTAAACACTAAATTTTAATAGAGGGGCGGATCCAGAAACGAATTTTGGGAGGGGAAAATGTTTTTGTCAATATTTTGATTACAGTTTCTGTAAAACGTTCCTGACTACACTCAGCTCATGCTGCGATACAATTCATACTTTCGATGAATTCGTATATGTGTTGTTTATTGCAATTTATGTACTCAGCCTTTTTATGACCCAAGGATGTTGAGTTGTTGGACTATTAACAATGTTACTTCTCAGAATTTTTGTTAATTTCTCTAAAATAATGTCAATGCAATTTTTCTATTTTGTAAGATAATTTGAAGCAAAGACATTTGATAAAAATAGTTTTAATTTTTTGTTAATATTTTATTGATTTAGCTGAAAAGGTTATTTTAAATTAGTCCATTACAAACATGTTTTTATTAGTCTTTAATTATGGCAAAACTTGTGTCATATATGTAGTGCTATTCCTCTCTAGAACTGTTATTCCTATTGATCTATTAATTACTATTTTAACCAATTAATCGACATTGGTTTTCATTTCGATATTGTACCGATTACTTTCATTGAAGATGATTGGTCAAAATAGTGCTGATTCGTGCTACTATCCATGTCATTCTGTCATTCTATGAAAATATTTGTACAGCATTAGAGTAATAATATTAGTTTTCTTGGAGAAATACTAAGATCTACGTTTTGGATGTGTGGAATGAGTTTTACCACAACGTTGCGTGAATGAATTGAAAGAGGTTTGCCGTGGGGTGCCACAGGGTGCTGACCGCCGTCATGCAGCTGATGAGCGACGCGGCGGCGCGGGCGTCGGGCCCCGGCCCCGGGGGTGGAGGGGGTGGCGGCGGCGGCGGCGGTGGAAGTGGCGCTGGCGGCGGCGCGGGGGAGGCTGCAGCTGTCCCCTCCGCGGCCGCCGCCGCCCCCGAGCCCTCCAACCTCTCCGCCCCCGCCGCCCACCACTGGACGCAGCCCGCCTACGCGCAGGTCGAGGACGCCATGCTCGCCTACAGGTAGGGGCTTAGATGATATGCGTTACCCCCTGTGATACAGTAGACCTAGTATCGCCGCCGATTCCGGTAGTCCGGAACGATGTGTCAATGGTATTGAAACTAACTAATTTTGTATAGATACTAAAACGGCAGTAAACACGATCTTCTTTTACAGGACGTTTTAAACGTAGGCTCTTTACTTGCTTATTTACGTACGCTGCTCAAACTTCACAGATCACTGTATGAATTGCATCATACTTCATCTTTTACGCGTTTTGTATAATATTCTTTTAGTCTATTCCTTCAATCAATTATTTTCTTCCACTTCAGATATTATCAGCAACAAACTCTCATGTCGTCTACTGGCATCTCTTTAATACTAGCACATACAGTTAAGATTTCTCTTGCTCTTCGTATCACTTGTACGTTGAATATTTTTAACATGTAGACACATTTTAGTAGGGATTTATTATCACATCTTCAATGTTTCAAGTATTTTTCCCTTCATTGATCTTATAGAAGTAGGCTCGCGTCAATAATATTACAGTATATACGACAATTACTCAAATGTGAACATATTAAGGGCGTACTGTCTCCTAATTTTGGCACTTCATATATCCATATTAAGGGCGTACTGTCTCCTAATTTTGGCACTTCATATATATCTCTGTGGTATTGTGTTAAGATATAGTTTCCAATTATTCAAATGAGTTAGAATGATGGGTTTATGGAATAACAATGTGAATGAAGAACTAACGAAATTATAAAGTATTTGAATATGATTAAAGGAAGCAACATTTTATTTTCAATTAATGTTTCTGTATTAATCGGCATATGAAGGATCAAAACTCGAGGTTAGATTATATCGACGTGTTGTTACTTAGCTCTGTTGGTTATATCGAAATAAAATGTATCATGATAAGTAATGCTACGCCCTCTTTTGACGCTCAGGGAGGAACTCCAGCGCCAGCACTTGGAACAAGAGCAGCGCCGGCGCGCGGAGCTGGCGGAGCAGGAACAGCAGCAACAGCAACAGCAACAGCAGCAGCACCTGCTGCAGCACCACGCGGACCTGCAGCGGCAGGAACTGTCGCACGCGCAGCACTACGAGCGGGCGATGGCCGACACGCACTACCAGCAACAGATGCAGGAGAACCTGCACTACCAGATGCTGCAGCAGCAGCAGCAGCAGCAGTACCGCCTGTGCGAGAGGTCGCCCTACCCGGTGCACGACTACCAGTCGCAGAACAACCTGCCTCTGGCGTACGGCCACCCCGTCGTCGCCGCGGCCGCCGTGGCCGCCGCCGCCGCCGCGGCGGAGAGCCAGCAGCTGGGCGCGGTGAACGGCCACTCGCCGCACCAGGCGCAGGACTTCTCCCCCGCCTACCACCACTCCCCGCCGGCGCAGCACCAGCAGCTCCCGGAGGCCAAGCGCGACCCCGAGCAGGAGCTCATGCCGCCCCCGCCCCCCGCAGCGGTGAGTGCCAATACTCTTCCATTGCAGTACGTGTATCAACTGAATAGTACGGAACGTCAGAATGTCTGTAAGAGTCAGGAAATCTGCTGCGATTAATACTCATTGTACGGCACACGTTACTTATAATAAACAGGGATACCCAAAAGGGGGAGGAGCAGCTGGGACGATTTACCCCAGGCCCTGACTTAACTGGAGCCTCACAAACAAAATCATGCATATATTAAAAATCTATTTAAACTTAATTCACATTAATCGCAATAAATTATTTCTGTTGCAAGGGAAATGAATTTTGTTTACGTATAGGGCGGCACTCATGTTTGCAACAAGGTCATATTTCATGTTGAAATTTACGAAATATTTAAACGTCAATATTGACAGGTCTGTTTGTAAAATAACGATGGAGTTTCCACGAAGCGATTTCGTGAATTTCTTGGAAACCGGTAAGCATTGAAATACAAAAGAATCAGTAAGGGTTCGTAAAGTATCTAATACTACAATTCGTAATGATGAATCCAACTCATTATATAAACAAGAATAGAGAAAAAACCTCGCTTTGACCCCGTTGGGTTGCAACTATTAACGTGGTCCATGTGTGTGTCAGAGCGGGCGCGGGCGCCGCGGGCGAGGGCCCGGGCGTGGGCGTGGCGCCCCGCGGGGTGGGCGCGGGCCGCGGGGCGCCGCCCCCGCAGGCGGGACCGCGGACTGCGCAGCCGGCCGCGCGCCGCGGCCGCGCGCAGCGCGCGCCTGGGGCCGGAGCCCTCTGCTCGTCGTCGTCGTCGTCGCCCGTGGACGAGCTCGCTGGGCTGGGCGCCAAGCTGCTCACGGACGGCAAACTCGCATGGCGTGCCGGCGCCGTAGCCCCCGCTGTCCCGCCGCGCCGCCCGCCGCGCCACACGCGCTGGCCGCGCTCCGCCACCGTCACCTCGGCGACCGCCGCCGCGGCGGAGGGCGAGCAGACCCCTGCTGCCCCCGCCGCCGCAGCTCCCGCACAAGACAACACCGTCAACGACATCCACGAGTGGGCGCGCCTGCACTACTCGGTGCAGCCCGCGCCCGCGCAGGCCCCCGCCAAGAGAAGCGGCAGTGGGGACTCGGATGACGCCGATCAGCAGGTCAGTGTACTGGAAGGCAATGCATGCTGGTGTGGGTTTTTGCCGTCTCTCATACTATGCAGATTCTAGGGCACTGATTTAGTGCTTTCAACGTTCATAACGAGAGAGTGAAGAATAGTAAAGCTTCATTCATGTTTATTTCAGAACGAGGTTGGTGTTACTTTAGGGAAGAAATAATTCCAATGTATTTATGTTTTACAATACGTTCATCCTTCCGTAACAGATTTTGCGGGAAATGCAAATGGCACATTCAAATTGAGATCTTGGTTACTTTCGATTTATTGTTGTTTACATAGATAGCGTGTTTACTTTTTTACTTACGTAGATAGTATTTACATAGAGTTGTTAGATTTATTACTATTAACAACAGAATGGTAAATCTTCCGTTAAGAGGCGAGTTTACTTATTCGCGATTCGTCTATTTCAAGAAGTTTAGTTATATTGCCTTAGAGATCAACGAGAGAGCGTTAAAATGGTTTTATATATTTTGCTCATTCAACGTTGTTACCTGCAAATATAATAAATATTTCCGATATTATATCAAACGTATATAATAGCATTTTTTAAATATATCATGAAATGTCTGTCACATTAGTTAGCTCTCAATACGTAATATCCATTTATACTTATGCGTTTTATTTGACAAATAAACGTAAAATAGTGCTTTGAATTCTTTGTAATCAGTGAGTGAGTGATTACGCTGCTCGCAACGCACCAAAACTTAGAGTAACACAAGTAAACTTAACTGTTGAAAATTGCAAGAGTATCACTGCAGCTATGGTGTAAAATCGGCGAATTGCAGTGCACTCGGCACATCTGCTTTGCCCCCCTCCCCCCACCCGTCTCCCTCTAACCTTCCTCCCGACACACGGCACTTGGGAGCGCTCTGGTGCATGCGAACAGCAGGCAATGGGGCGGCAGAATCGGCGAACGACCTGTCGGTCAGCGGGGGCTGTGGCGGAAGAGTGGCTGGCCGGGAACGTGAAAACGAACCTAATCCCCAAGTAAAAATACAGCGGCGATATCGCCGAGCAAGAGTGCGCCCCGTGTTGGTCGCTGACTCCCCGACTCCCAATCCCCGTCCCTGTACGGGGGAGAGGAGTCGCAACTTACAAAACACACCACCGGAAGAAGAAGAAACTGGACGAAGAGTCTCGTAAGAGACAGGCGTATCAGTAATAAACACTACAGATCCTTCCTTCCTTCCCTGTTAGTCGTTTTCCCGGCAGAAACACTAGCATCATCCGCTTGTTTTTTAGTACTGCACTACATAATCTCTGCACTATAAAAACTGCACTATAAAAACTCAACAAAACTTGTACTGCCCCTTCTTTTTCAAGTAATGTACACTCCAATGAAGTGAAAGAGGTGACACGTTCAAAATCTATTAATTGTACTGTAACAAAAAATGAAGTCGTTTCTACGTAATTATGGTGTGGTTTTGATATGTCAAATAATATTATGCTCTGATATAAAGCAAGTAGTTCCCAAATAACTTTCGGAAGTTTGGTAATTGGGTGCTTATTGATAAGCACAAGATGTTACGTATTACTTGTAGCTATCTTGCAAGATACAAAAGAAACATTATTCCTTGAAATATATTTCATGAATTATTTATAATACAGGAAGGATTCAGTATCATACTAAAACCCGGCCGAAAAAATATTGAGTTCCAAGATATTTTTAAAAGCAAGCAGCAGTTTTGTTTTTTAAACAATAAGCATTTTGGTAAATATTATTTCACAGCTACATTGCATTAATTAAATTCTCAAAGATAATATAGGGAATAAAAATGCAGATAAAACTTGCAATATTTTCACAAAAAAGATGCAAAAATTGTTGAATTATGGTACTACTAATTATGGTATTTTAAAAGAACTAAAAATAGTAACGAAAATAATAAACTTTGCGTATACAAGAAAAAGATTCCAAAGAATGCTCCAAACTGTGGTGGAACACTAATGTAAGTTCACGTTTTGACATACTATTCCATTGTGTCATGCTTTGTGTATTCCTATCCCTTTCTCACGCTAGTCAGCGTGATCTCAGCAGAGACCTCTACAATGCAGTCTCACATGGTCAATTAAAACCCTCTTCTCTCGTGAAGAACGAGATATTAGACCTCTCTAAATCTTCAATGGAATAGCGGGAACAGTGCCGTGTTCTGATTGCGATGGCTCAGTGGCAACATATGTTTCCCTCGCTGCGTCGCTGATGGGAAGATCCAAAGGTTCCAGTCCTGACGGTCACGTATTTTAGAGACTTGCTACATTCTGGGACGGATTGAAAAGCTCACACAAACAAAGACACACACACACAGACGTACATTCACTACACTACCGCAAATGTTGGGAGACCAGTCTATGTTCTTTGCTCCGACTGCGACAATGCCTTACTGGAGGAGATATCTTGTTGAAGAAGGAACATCAAGCCAAGTAGGGGCCAGATTACACTTCAAGCTGGAGGAAAATGAGTCACTTCCCTTGATATAACAAGTACTACACTTACGAGACTAATTGCCGTAGTGGTTGACGCGCTCAGAGACTCACTCACTCACTCACGCGAATGTGTGTGCGCCCACAGGGCCCGGAGGCCCCATCGCGCAAGCGCCGGCAGCCGCGGGGCCACGACGGGGAGCCGCAGCCCAGCGGGTACGCGGCGCCGCCACCCTCGCAGCCCGCGCCGCCGCCATACGTGGTCCCCAAGGTGGAGGGGGACCCGCCGAACACACACGCATATCAGGTGAGGCTTTTTGAACAATATTTGCGCTGTGTATTTGTTTTGTAAGCTTTCGGACCTTGCAGGGTGTCTTGTGGACCCATACCGACACTTCAGATTTCCCTTACCTCTAGTTCCATTGAGAATCTACCACATTTTAGGGTCTGACAACTTCCTTCAGGACATCTCTGTCAGTACAAGAGAGGGAGTATTACGAGGCATTAGAGGTATACGAGAACAGTGTCAAATACCTGCAATGGGGCATTCCCTCTTTTCAGCCGAAAGAAATGTTCCGAAGGAAGCTCTTTCACACCGTAGATTGGCAGTACTGCTGCCTGCAGACTCGTCTCGGTTAAGAAAAGCTACATTGGATAGAGGTATCTTGGTCTGGAACAGGAAAGAAAGGGAAGTGGCGAGTGATCAATGGTGGGGGAAACAGGAAACGTTTCATTAAATTTAAAAAAATACTAAAATTGGCGTAATTAAGATGTTTTACACGGTCTCATTCACTGCGGAGAACTTCCGAAGCATAATTTGATATTAATTTGCTGATATTAATTATATTATTGGTAAACATATGCGGACACGATGAACTATTCTGAGGTGATGGGATTTGTAATTTGTATTTCCTTACTTTTAATTCATGATAAAATTAGATAACATATTCTTTATGTGGTTGTGTGTTTCGTGAAGTCTTAACGCAGCTCCAACTTGGAACTGGCTTTCGGAATCTCCTTCCTGAGTCTGTCGAACGCATCTTGTGGGTTTCCATTGCTGCAGCTTCTTCGCAAGATTGTAGACAGTTGCCGCGACTTGTGGAACGACCCTCGCATGAGTTGGCACCCCGCCCCCTTCCAGGACCAGCAAGTGCATCACATGGCCATGGCACAGCAACAGCATCAACAGCATCAACATCAGCAACAACAACAGCAACAGCACTCGCCGGCGTCTCAGCATCGCATGGCGACTGCCGGCGCGATGGCATACGGGCAGGCGGCCGCCGCCGCCGCCGCCGCAGCCCCCGCCCCCCCGCCGCAAGGGCAGTACGCGCCCGCGGCCTCGGCCCCCGCGCCGCATTACGCCCCCGCCCCCGGGCACGAGTACCAGCCCGCGCACGACACGCCCACGCACGCTCATGCACAGGTACCTGCCATTAACTCTCGTGGTGGATAGACACATCGTGTTAGAAGAGATATTGAGAAATGTGGTTTGGCTGGTTTGTACTGTGGTAAAAGGTAGTATTAGACAATACAAATGTAGTTCAGTCAACTCCCATTTCAATGTAAAAGTAATACTTTCGTTTAAATTATTTAAGTTATATGTTCGAATATCAAAGTAAAACTTCCAATTTTTTTAGAACTAAATCTATTAGTTATTTTCTCTAGAGCAAAAACAGTAAATTTCTTTATAGAAGAACTTGATAACGTTTTTAAAATGCTCATTTTTCTTATTAATACAATAAATAAACAAAAATCATATCAGAGCATATTATTTAAAAATTCAATGTCTTCCATGGTCGAGGGGCAAGTCCCTCCTCTGTAACTGTTCTTGCTTCCTTGGCATCAAAAAGTCATTTTTTCGACTACTTAGGCTTCTAGTCGTTTGCAAAGCGCGTCCCCTTTTTTTCCTTCCGCCAGCAGCAGCAGCAGCAGCAGCAGCAAGCGTGTGCGGATCATGCGAGCCTGGCGAACGGCGCCTCGGGGGCGTGGGCGGCTCACCCGTACAAGGTGAGCGCGGCGCCGCCCGCGCACCTGCCGGCCTACCCGCTGCTGCCGTACGCCGCCGCCGCGGCCGCTTGCCGCCGCCGCCGGCGCCACGCCGCTCTACTCGCCCATGTGGGAGCACGCGTACACGCTGCCCCGCGCGCCGGCCGCCGCCGCCGCCGCCGCGCCGCCGGCCGCCGCCGCCCCCCCGCCGCTGCCCCCGCCGCTGCGGCCGGCGCAGCCGCCGCTCTAGCGCGGACCTGTACGCGCCCTGGCACGCGCCCGAGGCTAGGATGTCCCCTCCTCCAGGTAAGCTGTGGCCTTGTGTGGCGGTCGTTAACACGAGGGCCAGAACAGTTTAGGTCTGTGAATGTTACGCTGCGGGGAAGGAAGGGGTTGAGCCTGAACTTCCTGGTGAGTTTGCGCTCTGGCGGTTGAACTCGGGTTAGAGGCGCAGAGCCATAAATAACCGTAGGCTGTAAACTCACGGATGCTAACCAGCGAGGCCTCGCTTACGGAAGCAGGCGAGCAACCTGAGAATCCTGTATGTGGGCGTAAACCAAAGCTGCTGGCCAGCGAGCCTATTCTATGGAACAGTGGTGGGGGTGTCAGCCTCACTATTTAACGCGGCGCCAAATACTCGCGCCGCGTTCTCATTCAGTTGCATCGGGAGCTTGTACGTGTGTGTACAAGGGGTGGTGGAGTGGTGGCGAGGTGTCCGGAGAGTAAGGGCCAGACGATTCGCGTGCTGTAAGGCAACACGGTCGCACGACCGGCCCGTTAAATTTGGCGTCAGCGCCATGTGACGGTAATTGTCACGGGACGGAGGTCGACAGCTTCGCATCAACGCGTGGCTTGTATTTTTCTGCGGTTAAAGCAGGTATTTGAAGGAAAAGGTTGCCGGAGTGTTTTATATTAGCAGTTTATTGTAACTTGTAACATAATCTTTAATATATTCATTTTTTTTGTTATTGAAATTTATTTCGTTTCACTACGTCACCACTTGCATGTATGTGTGTATATGTACATTAATGTGTATGTGTGTGGTCGTTGGTGGGTATGTGATCAAAAGTGTATCCTGAATGGGGCCTGAATGACCACCCCTGACGGCAGATCCCATACGCGAGGTTCGTTGAATATTTCCTTGGACTATAAGTGAACCTTGGTAGAAAATCCTCGAATGTCATGCGAGTCTTCATTAAACTTTTCATTGAGTAGGTTTCGCGTCACAATTTTTAGTCGTTCTTACGGCATTTGTTCATTGAAATATGAATTATCAAGCCGGCAATAATTTTCATTTCTCTTCGGGCTGAAATTTTTCCAGCAGTTTTGTTACTGTAAGTTAAACTGCATTAACTCGCCGATGTCCCACTTTGGAACGAAAATAGAGTTGTTATACTAATTCTTGAGTGTTGTCATTCATAATTTTGCCAAGTTCGTGTGTTACGTAGCGAGGTAATTATAATAAATAAGGAAACGTTAAACAGTTAAATAGCAAGCGAGGTTGTTATTTCCAGGAAGCGGCAGTACGCCGCCGCCATGGCCAGCGCGGCAGGTGGCGCCGCGGCCGCGCGGCGGCGAGTTGCGGCCGGTTGCCAGCCCGCGACAAGGCCCCCGACCCCGCCTCCGCTCGCTTCCCCCCGCTCCCGCGCCGCTCCCGCTTCCTCCGCCCCCTCCGGCGCGCAGCCTGCGCACAGCGCAGCGCCGGCGTACGAGCAGCCCCGCCCCCCGCAGTGGCCCGCCTGCACCGTCACCGTCAGCTGCTACCAGCGGCCCATCACCACACCTGTGTGAGTAGCATCCTTTGCTTAGCATTACTCGCGCAACTTTTCGTGAATGATGGATAGAAGAAATGCGGGGAGAGTGGGGGTATTAGTTTTGAAATCTGCCACTAGATTTTATGAAGAAATGCCAATCTCTGGAGAATCAATCATACATTCGTAACTTTCTCAATAATTTGCGTTTTAACTTTCTCAAAGAAGTTTGAACTTTTAACTTTCTCTCTCTTCGAAATATCTTCTGCGATGAATATTCACATGCTACGGTCATTTCTTTACATTTTTTTGAGAACATCGCGGACAGAAGTACTTGTCTTCAAAAAAATGTTTCCTATTTCGCTCCAGTGAAGATGTGTTTGGAATGTCGTCGGTGTTCGCTACTAGCTTTTGCCTTCAACTGTTTTATTGTGCCAGAGACGGGGCAGCGAGGTCATCGTTCAAGAAGAGTTGCGCGAGTAAGATTGGGGGTCGAATTTTGATAGTCTAAAACACTGCCAAGAATGATCAATAAATTTCTCTTGAAATGCTTTGAAAATGCCCCCAAAGACAAAGAAAAATGACGTAAAAAATTAATGAAACCCACTTCAAATGAACAACTCAAGCTGTTGGATAGTTAATTGATGTAATTGAGGCTTCTTCCTTTTCTTAAATCAATCTCAGCTTGCAAACGTTGGGTTTGGACTGTTATTTGAAAGAATCTCTGCCTTTATTTATCGCAAATTCATCCGCACTCACAATGGCACCGATAAACGTTACAGAAACCTTAAATTACATAGTACTCACAACGACTGACATCGCAATATATGAGCGTAGAAATGATATAGGCAACACAGATATTCTGTGGTGAACATGTGTTGCACCTCCTAAATATTGTTTGAAGCAATTACCATTCAATCTATATTAAAATTGATGAAATTTGGAAAAAAATGTTGTTAAATGTGGAAAAAAGGTTAAAAGTGACTTATTACTCGAAATCGACGGAAATAAAAAAAAATATATAAAAACGGGTTATAAGATACAATTAATTTCTATGCTAAGCGACATTGACCAAAATGAAAAAAGGAGATATTAAAATCCGTCCATTACTTATTAGGGAGGATTTGTAGGGCGAAGCGATGTAGCAATCGACAGAGATATCGATCTTCGAGGCATGCGCAGTACAAGTTCGCATCACTTTCGACCACCAGCTCCTGTGCAGAAGATCGATGTTGAAGTAAATTGCTGCATGCTATGTCCTGCGAAATCTTTCTATCCTCTCGTCTTTTAGCTCTCGCCGTGTGCCGAATCTTGAATGAAGTCTGAGAGACTTTTTTAAGGTGAGGGGTGGATGCTGTAAGGAGGGAGAGTTGTCCATTGCGCGTTCCCAAGAGTGAGGATGGCATCAGAATGAGTAACAAAGGACAAATCACGCGTCTTCAATAGTCCCTTGTTTAGCATTCTCTTAGAATATTGGTCAGATATTGATCGGAGGAAATCGCTGCCGACGAGAGAAGACCGTCTACAGATGCTCAACGAAAAACGTCTTCGATCCGATTCGCTGGTGTCGAAAATCGACATGTGTCGTCCGTGATAAGAATTTACGAAGTGTCAAATGCGAACTTGCTACTTTCTATCTCAGTGGTGCTGAGTAGTGTTCTCTCGTCAGTTTCACACAAAGAGAGTATTCATGATTCATCAATTGGCTTGGGGAGGGTCTGTTTATCGCTCCGGGAGCCACGAGTATCAAGGAGGCCATGGGAACTGAAGGTGGCCAATGAAGCCCTAGGCTTCCCAAAACGATTATTAAAATTTGGCAATCTTATTTATTTATTTATTCATTTATTTATCGAATCGAATCTTTTTCAATTTTGTAAGTAAAAATATTTTGAAAATTAAGCTACGTGTGTGTCACTGTTTTTGTGATACCATGATTTAGGGAAAATGCTCGAAGTGTTATTGTGAACAGTTGAGTACCAAGAATATTAATCGTATCTGAATATATCAGTATAATCGAACAGTGCAAGGAAATACATTGATGCTCATAAATTGATGAAATAAGTTGACTCAGGTGAATTCAGAAATATATACTGATATGTGTGCTTAAGACTACCTTTCTTTCCTGGAGCCTTCTCAAATATAGAGTAAACATAATACAACCGACGCTGTTGAAAACAGGTCAATGCCGGACATGCTAGACGCTATGAACCATTATGAGGAGTAGTCGATAGTGATGCGTAAGAACATTTAAACGGGAACTCTGGCCAGTCGTGAAGTAGACTGAGCCTCATTTTAGAGGACTCATAGAATGAGTCCGTAGACGGGAAGTAATAATGTGGAAGTCTGAATCGTGTTGGACAAAGAACAGACGGACACAGCTACAGCGGGATTCAAAATGACGATTTCAACTTTACCAGTAGTGTGTAGCGACGTTGACAAAAGCGATAAAAGAGCTTTGAATTTCGAAAAGGCAATTATTGCGCCTTAAATACTCGCAAATTACTCGTTTGTTACGTATGTATATTGCGCGAGCTTTATAGAATAGTAACAAAATACTTTGAATCTTCTTCATGGATACTAAATCATTGTGTAATATTCTAACACGTTTTATAAGTTTTCCTTTTTTATATATTTCCTTTTCAATCATGTCTTTTCGAAATCAGTAAAGTTTCCTGATCATTTCTCAGGATGTATTCAGCTGCCAATAGTGGCCAAGAACCGTCCAACTTCTACTCAACCGGCCAATCGTACCGTGGGTACCAGCCGTACTCTCTGCCCACATCCGCAGAGACGGCGCGACAGCCGCAACAGCACCAGCAACACGTGCATGGCGTAATGGAAGATGCGCCCACGCAGCACGCCCATCACCCACAGCACGCCCAGCACCAGCAGGTCTCGCAGAGCCAACAGGAGATGGCTCACCACCGCCTCAATAGGTCGTACCAGGTGATTTACAATTACCTGGCTTGTGCGGAGCAACAGGTACGTGCACGTCTTAAACAATTTTTCCAGGACATAGGAACAAGTATGGCGATATGTATACGATGCTCTTGGTTCAATATTAAATTTGAAGTATTGCTGGGCGTTTTGAGTAGACAAAATTACTATTTGGAGACAAACCAAGATATTTTTATTAAGAATGGGATGTCAAAAATTAAAATGCTCAGTTCACTGTGCAATCATTCTAATTTTCTATAACATATAAACATTATGCGTGATGTAGAATAATTACATTCAAGTGAATAATTATATTGGAGAAGCAAAATCGCATTATAAATTCGCTGATGATCATGAACTACTTTTGTTTACTATACCCCTCATCGACTTGCTAATACTATACATTTTTTTCAAAATTCAATTGTATCATGTTTTACTGTTTTCTTTTAGAGTGCTACCGCCTTCACCGAAGTTTTAAAAAAATCTGTAGTTTCTCTGTACATAGGACATTTACAACAGTTTGGCGAAGACAGTCAACACAAGAACTTCGATTAAAGTGAATAATTCTCTACGGACCTTATCACTGTGGTTCAATTGTGTTATCACAAAATTATATAACAAAATTAAAATTTCAACATTCCATCTGGTCTCAAATAAGAATTTTTTCCTAATTTAGAAACCCGAACGACCAAAATTAACCATGACAATGCGGAGTGTGTAGTTTTGTGGTTTTCGATTTTAGTGTTCGTTAAATTCCATACATTTTTCTGAAAATAACAAAATTGATGTGTTTCACAAAAGCTCGATGGCATCGCCATTGTCTTTGCAGCGTTAAGCAGAGACTAGTTTCTGTAGTTTTCCTATTGATACCATGCGAATGCCGCGGCAGAATCCTAACAAACGGACTCGTGCTGGACCCTTCCTCTCCCCTTACGTTCACACATACACATACAATAGCACAGCACATACTGACATGCATACACTACCGCTGTGTTGGATGACTAAAAGAGCAATGCTGAATACTTGTCGCAACCGAATCAGATCCCTACTCGATGAGATGCTTTCGGAGGGGGGGGTGGCAAAATCCCCGCAAGCCGACTTTCAGTTGTCCCCGAATCTCATGTTCCAGTGGGGGAGGACCACCCACCATCCTCATAAATTACTACACTAACGGGACTAAATAAGTTCTGGAGGTGCCCAAAATCAATTCTTATGCACTCGACAAAAACCGTAATTTGTTTTGCGTTGTTTCCGCAATTATCCCTCCCACAGCGAGGACTGCTCCCGTTTGCCGCAGGTGTACGCGCGGCCTCTGCAGGGCGGGATGTGGGGCCGCAGCAGCCCCCCGAGCCGCGAACCCTCGCCCCCAGGCGCCACCGCCCACGCGCCTCCCGACCAGCCCGGGCCGCGCGTCACCCGCCACGCGCCACGCCACGCCGCCTCCTCGACCTCTCCCAACCCTCAGCACGCGTCACCGGCCACCGCCCAGCAGCCAGAGAGCGAGGAGGAGGAGGAGGACGACGACGCTGGTGCAGGGGCGTCCGCCATGGACGACACGTCGCTGGTGGCGTCGCTGCTCGGGGAGGACGCGGACGAGTCGGCGGCGTCGCGCGGCGGCGAGCGGCCCGCCCTGCGCTCGCCTACGCACGCGAACACGCCCTCCTCGCCCTCACCCTCGCCCCGCGCCGACGCTGGCGGCTGCAGCAGCAGCTGCGGGCCCACGCTCGCCGCCGCGGTGAGCGCAGCACATTTTGGTCGATAAGCGAATGTTCTTGGCTGATGGAGAACCGTTCACTCCTAAAGGATGTTGAGGGGCCAGGCCTTGCATGTATCTTTCTTACGCATATTGCCTTTACTCTAACGAAGGCCGTTACGTTTCTGACATTTGTAACAGTATGCGTTTGTATCCGCTGATTTACTAAAATGATTTTCGAAGGGTAAAACTCTGAAAAGGTCCAACAACAAAATGAAGGATTTCCTTGGAAATCCGCAAGGCGTATACACAAATTCTAAAACGTCAATCAAAAGAATATTTGATATTAGAAGCGTATGATTTTTTTTTAATTGTTGCAGGACTTCAGTTAACTGTGATAAAAAAAATTTGAAAGCTAAGAAAATTAAAACACTTCTTCAATGCAGTTTTTCAAAAATTTCTACATTGAAGCTTGTCGTGATACTTTTATTTGTTAATTTTTTTCCAGAGCTTATATACAATTATTAATAAGAGAATGGTTTTAATAAACCATCGAGTGCCAGCTCTAATATAGTAGGGGAAGCTAAAGGACCGTATGATTAGGCGCCACAAGCGTCACCTTACTTTAGAAAAAATCAAGTTCAAGAGGGAAGAAAAAATATTTCTATCAGAAAGTCAGGAAAACCGGCCAGTATACGAGTGCTTGTTGTTGTTGTTGTTGTTGTTGTTGTTGTTATTGTAGAATATATTTCAATTGCAAATTGCTTAATGAAAATTAGGCAAAGAAGGTTTCTATTACCTCTTTCCTAAATGTTTGCGAACACACCAGTTTCCTATATTACCCAGCGGAGGGTTGGAGGTCGTTTTTAGAACATGTCGTGCTTATTAAACCACAGATTATTTTACTAACGTTCGTTTTATATGACGAAAATTGAGTAAAATGTGACCTATTTCTTAGTTAAAGATGTTTCTCTCGATCTGTATTTCGTGCTCATTAAACGGAGATACCGCAGATTATTTTACTAATATTCATTATATATCACGCAAACCGCGCTAAATATAAATTTATTTTATTCCATCAAGGCCCATTCACAATGCAAACATAAACATAAGCATGGCGTTAAAATAAAAGTTAAGACTACGTCCATAATTGGACTCGTTCACATTGCGTTCGTAGAAGCATAACACGTAAGACATTAATTTAAAAATTGCAAGCTTCAAGCTTCTGGGCTTTTGCTTAAGCCAATCACAGAACGATAACTCAAAATCGAGAATCGAAATTGGAGCGAAGTCGATAGAACTAACGCCACATGGGCCATGGACACAGTCGATTATCACATCCAACTAATAGTAAACTAGAATGTCTCACAGCCAATAAAAACTTATTTTGCTTACGTTTATGTTACACATCGTGAATACTTCAGTATATCTCTTATGTTAATGTTTATTATGTCTGAACGCTATGCTTATGTTTGCTTTGACATTGTGAATGGGCCTTCAAGGTGATGTCTGGCAAGCGCTTGCCAAGGAGTGATGAGATGTGATGTGGTGTGTTGTGTGGTGTGCGTAGGTGGAGGCAGCGACTGCGTCGGCGGTGGAGGAGCTGGTGGTGGCGTGCTCGCCGTCGGCCGGGCCGCAGCCGCGCCGCCCGTCGCCGCCCGCGCCGGCGCGCTGCCGCTACGCCCCGACGGCTGCGCGCCACCCCCGCCGACCCCCCAACGCTGCGCCACGGAGAGCGAGTGCTCTTCCCAGGTGCGCCACGCCCCCCGCTCCGTTCCGCTCCGCCCCGCCCACTCCGCCTGCCGCTTCCGCCCCCGCCCGTTCGCTCCGCCCCGCTCGGCTCCGCCTCCGCCACGCCCCGCCAGGCCCGCCCGCCATGCCACGCCACGCCTCGCCCGTCCCTCCAACGCCTAGGCCGCCCCTCCACGGCCTAGGCCGCCCCTCCACGCCTTGGGCCGCCCCTCCACGCCTTGGCCGCCCCACCCACCGCCCCCCCACACCGCCGCCCCAACACCGCCCGCCCCACCCCCGTCCCCGCCCCACCCCCGTACCCGCCCCACCCCCGTCGCCGTTCCCACCACCGTCCCACCCCCGTGCCCACCCCGTCCCACCCCCGCCCGCCCCCGCCATGCCATGCCATGTCACGCCTCGCCCACCCCTTCACGCCTTGGCCGCCGCCACTCCACGCCTTGTCCGCCCCACCCCCGCCCCACCCCCTTCACCCACCCCGTCCCAACCCCACCCCGTCCCGCCCCGCTCCCGCCCCGCCCCGTACCGCCCCGCCCCGCCCGCCCTTCCCCGCCCCGTTCCCGTCCCGCCCCGCCCCGTCCCGTCCCGCCCCGTCCCGTTTTTTCCCCGGTCTCGTCCCGCCCCGTCCCGCCCCGTTCCCGCCCCGTCCCGCCCCGTCCCGCCCCGTCCCGCCCCGTCCCGCCCCGCCGCCCGGCCCGCCCCGTCCCGCCCCGGTCCCGCCCCGTCCCGCCCCGCTCCCGCCCCGTCCCGCCCCGCTCCCGCCGCCGTCCCGCCCCGTCCCGCCCCGTCCCGCCCCGTTCCCGCCCCGTCCCCGCCACTCGTCCCGCCTCCGTTCCCCGCCCCGTCCCGCTCCGCCCCGCTATGCTCCGCCTCGCCCCGCTCCTTTCTCACACCGCCGAAAAATAAAAATAAAAGTTCCCAATTAGAATCAGGGGTACTCGGAGGAAAGGGGGAGGGCAGCTGGGGTAACTTCCCTCCAGGCCCCGGCTTAATTGAGGCTCTGACATTCTAAAAAATATTTAAGGCAAATAAAAATGTATTTCATTCTTCTTAAAATTAACTTCAACTTCTGAAAGTTGTTTTTGTTATATGGGGGAAATGAAGTCTGCTTGTGTGTAGGGGAGGAGGAGGAAATTTTATTTGAAATAAGATTCTAGATGTAGATCTACTACGCTAACCTCTCCGTTTTCTTTGGGCCCACCTGATTAGAATACACTACTTTGTATGGACTTTGAGGTGATGAAATTAATAACTTTTATATTTATTTGGTTATAATGCGTTTTTTTGATAAAAATGCTTATATTTAGAGTTCATTTATGATAACTTAATGCTCATGTTGAGGCTCCTATTTCTGATTCTATGATGTTGTGATTTATCAGTGCAGAGGCAATTCTCAGTCAGAGCAACGAAATATTGGAAAACTGGCGCAGAAATGTGTAAATGAGTTGCTGCGTTAGTATTGAGCCACAATGAAGGCAATAAATAATTTAGGGTATGGTGATAATACCCTATCCCCCGTTACTCATTCCTGCGTTAGGAGTAATTTAATTAGTATAATCTTCATTTTGGATTGCATTTCTGTCAGTACTGGCACTGCTATCATAATGCATTGTATTGAAATAACTTCAAGTAATGGAAATACCAGCTTCATGTCGTCTAAAATGCTATGCTAAATGGTTCATAGAATATTTTTTTAGTGTCTTCTTTTGATTTGGGTTTTAATATGATACAGATGTGGAAGTAGTGTTTAAACATGTCAAAACATCTTTTTTTCCCCAAAAATTGTCAGGCAGAGCCATTTTGTGAGGCCTCTGTGCTCTGCTTCCAGGACGCCGAGTGCCCGCTGTACGGCTGCGCGTGGGGCGGTCTGCTGCGCGAACTGGCACCACATCTGCGCGAGGTACCGATCCCCCCGCTCACGTCGGTGGCCGCCGCCGCCGCCGCCGCCGCCGCCAACGTCGCTGTGCGAGTCGGCTTCCTCTCCCCGCCCTCTTCCACAGACGATTCGACGAGCTTCCTTCAGCTCTGATCTCTTCCAAAATTTGCATAGAAATTGTAAAGTGTGTCACGTTTTTGTTGTCGATTACCACTTGCATAATTCGCTTAGTAAACAGTTAATTCCAATATACATAATTTTGACGTGTCAGCTCGAAATTATTACAATTGGGGTCAACAATTGTGCTCGTAACATGATACGTTGTTGTCTAGATAAGCCTATGTATGTGAACAGAGCCGTTTAATGCGCGGTTCAGGCTTGATGTATTCAATTGATTTTGTTTCTCAGCAGCCTCGTTACTCAAACGAGTGCACATTTAAGGTTAGTTCCTATGCGAAAACATTCTGGAAGGAAATATCCTTAATTATCTTCGAACACTTGTTGAAAAAGTTATTGCATATCTAAATTTGCTAGACCTTCAATACTGTTTTTTGTAACTGAGAATCCAAAACCTTTTCCATTTTCTCATGATTTCATAACAATAATTAGTAGTGATTTGAGAGTGTTTGGAAAACCAGTTTTCATTTTGTGTATATTATTTTTCTTATATTAACCAATGTTATGTACTATCACATTTTGTTTTGCGCACTTATGATAGAAATGGGTTTTTCTCATGTTTGATTGGAATGATTTATGGAATGACATTTCATTTTTACTAAATATTATTTAAGATAAAAATAAGTAATATTATTTTTAACGTTGTAGTATTAGTAATTATTTGTACAAGTTGTAGAATGTTACGTATTTCAAAAAATAGTTTTGGAATGTTACGTATTTCAAAAAATAGTTTTGGAATGTTACGTATTTCAAAAAATAGTTTTGGAATGTTACGTATTTCAAAAAATAGTTTTGGAATGTTACGTATTTCAAAAAATAGTTGTAGAATATTACGTATTTCAAATACAGTAGTTGTGGAATAATACGTATTTTAAAACGGTAGTTGTGGGATGTTACGTATCTCGAAATGGTATTGTGGGATATTACGTATCTCGAAATGGTATTGTGGGATATTACGTATCTCAAAACTGTAGTTGTGAAGTATTACGTAGTGCAAGACGGTAGTAATTTCACCCCCAGCCTATGCATTCCTCACATCTGCACCATTCCCTCTCTTGAAAACCGCCCCCACCGTGAGAGGCTGAGGCGCGGGTTGCTGCGCAGGAGCACGCCGCGCAGACGGTGCGGGGCCGCGAGGCGGTGCACCAGATCGCCATGCGGGCGCTGCGCGCGCAGCGGAAGTACGTGTGCGTGCAGGAGGCGGTGGGCCGCCTCTACGTGGTGGCCATCCGCTGCCACGGCCTACTCTACTTCGCCACGCTGCAGGTACCGCTTTTCACTCTCTCTCACTCTCTCTCACTCTCTCTCACTCTCTCTCACTCTCTCTCACTCTCTCTCACTCTCTCTCACTCACTCTCACTCACTCTCACTCACTCTCTCTCACTCACTCTCTCTCACTCACTCTCTCTCACTCTCTCTCACTCTCTCTCTCTCTCTCTCTCACTCTCTCTCACTCTCTCACTCTCTCTCACTCTCTCTCACTCTCTCACTCTCACTCACATGTTTCCCTCGACACGCAAGGTGAAATAGAAACCGTGTAGTTCGACCCCTACTCTGGCTTAAATACAGAGGTGGAATATTGCATAGGTTCCACGATGAAATTCAATCGAAGAATTCGTCAATTCTGAATTGCACATGGTATCGAGGATGAGAAAAAACACAATTCATTGCAACATTAAAAATTATTAGTTTTTAACATTGATTAATTTTTTTATTGGTCATATTGTTTTATATTTCTTCATTAAGATTTGTAATGTTCTATAATACGTTTTGGATATCCACCCAATATCTGGTGAACATAATCATTAGTGGTTTTCAAAAAGTTGGTAATTATCGATAGAGTATAACACTTTGTAAAGACTTCATTGCCGTTTTAGTACCATACAGGTGCCTCACTTTGCTATTATCACTATGGGTAGCTCGAAAAAAATACATCTGATTTGTCTCTGAGGATTTACAACCTGATACAATGAATGGGACTTAAACTTCAGCTTCCAGTTTCGAAAACATTAAAAACTTAAGAGTATAAATAAATAATTCATGCACTAAGACAGTGCCTATTTCTTTGAAACTCTCTCTGCATTGGATCCAGAACAATTTGAAGAAATTATCAATTTATTATTACATTATTTACTTGTTACCAGAGTTACTAATGAAGCAAAATGTTAGAAGCAGGCTAAGAAACATTTGCACGGGAATGAGTTTATTAATTCAAAATTTCATATATTGTTTTTTGAGACAGCCAGTGACATGTGCAATTACTGTTATATGTAGCATATTAAAAATCCAATTTTAACATTGTTACTTCTGATATTCATGAATCAAGGTACCCAAATTAGTGATTTGCATTTTTAAATTGAAATAAAAGAAAAGTTAGTATGGCAGTCTAAAAAATTGACATACGTGTTAAAATATATTATTTTGTTTGTAAGAGTGTGCCACTATTGGCCACGAGTCACAACTATTCCTACTCGTAAAATAAAATGTCAGGTTGACCACTAGTATTCTCTTTGAGCACTAGAGCATCGTTCAGGCTGTAATGTTTAAGAGAATTTCTTTTAAAGGGAACAGTATTGTACTTCCACTAGTAGATTTACTTACGCGGAACTACAAATCAAATTAAAAAGTAGACGTTTACGAATCCTCGAAAAAAGTGTCAATATCATGGACTTTCCTCCTCCACATGTACTTACATTCAGATGAGTCGCAGCTGTTTTCACGTTTTCGCAGAAACTTCGGGATGCTAAAAGACTAACAGTCTAAATTCACTGGGACGCTTTCAAAATTACCCCGTAGCGCAAATCTTGAGAAAAACAAAAATAATGGTTGTCCAAAAATGCTAATAGAATTGGGGCAAAAGTTATAATTGAAAAAATACTAATTATTTTTTAAACAACTTAAAAATGTCAAAATAATAAGAAATTGCAGTGTTTTTACGTTTAATATCATAATTTTCTTGTTAACCGTTTTCTAGAAAAGGTACATCAATTATAGCAAATTTAACATGGTCGATATGGATGGGTTCGCTCGCCCCATTAAATAACTATTCTGCCCCATTTTCAGCAGTGGAGCCTTCTTGAGGCGCGCAGTACTACCTGTTCGTTTTGCCCTTGCTGCCCGCAGAGCGTGCCGGAGGAGAGCGACCTGACGGAGCAGGGCGAGTGCGACGCGCCGCTGCCCACCGGGTGGCTGGAGGCGTGCGCGGCGCCGCGCGGGGGCGGCGGCGAGGCGGAGGGCGC